CACGAATTGATTCTTGCGTCTGCGTCAATGCGTCTCACACCAAACTAATTGCGTCACACGACTTTTAATTTTGACATGTATAGTCAGTTCTATGTATCACTCAAGATAGAAAATGAGATACTATAAAACTGTTAATTATAATCACATTACAAATGACTAAATTTTGATCCCTGAAATTCTGCTAATACCAATGTTCACTTTGTCTGGTTTTGTTGCAGCATGCCCCAAATCACATTTACTAAAAAAAATTTTGATTATAATCGTGGGGACATTGCAGATCAAATGTCACCTACCATAAATATCCGTTCGCATGATGATTGGAAATGTTACGCCTTGGGACTGGTGCATTAAAGTAAACATGTTTTTTTAAAGTTAATTTGCATATAAACTTAAGGTTTCGTTGAGTTTGCATTATTAATGAATTTAGGATGAAAATTTTAAATTAGATAAAAAATCCCGTGATTTTATGAAAACTTCAAAATTCCGTTAAATTATGGATCAAGTCATTAAAGTAAGTTTACTTAAAATACTTTGAATTATATATGGTTAAAAATTGATAAGTATAGACAACAAAACGTAAAGGCTTAAAATTGTATTCTGTGTTTCCAAATTACGGATGGTCGGGTACTTTTTAAACCCTTTTCACGAACTAGTTTATTCCGAAACCGTATTGTAGATATATGTAATTCGTTACGTTGAGCATGTTTCATTGATGCAATCAATATACATTATAACAAAGAGATTTGACCTTTTATCACATGTAAATTTCGATTGAAAATTTCTTTTTTTGGACTATTTGATACCAAACCTTTCGAAGCTATTGTAATTGAGAGATATTGATATCAAGTACAAGTTTACTTAGTAAAGTAAAATTGTCTTTAAGAAAACGTTACTTTTTTAGTAAAGACTTTTTTCATTTGACATTACACGACATAGGCGGCCAGATATTTATGGTAGGTGAGTGTATTATGTATTAATATCTAAAAATAAGAATTCAACCTGTGTAACAAAGCAGTCTTTCGTAATATATTTCTATATCGAAAAGGTTCTCTAAGTGAAGCTACAACTATTCAAAAACAATATTCCATTTTTACTTCAAAACAAGATCATCGTTTCAATTTATTTTAAATGTCTTAAAAATTGGTGAAAAGGTATAAAATTGAAGTTTAGAAGAAAAAAACAATAAAATTCAATTAGTGGTAATTGTGGTGAAGATCATCGATATTATTATCAAAAAATAGAAAATGTTCCAAACTTTAGGCTAAGATTATCGTTGATGTTTTTATAACTGCCCCAAAAAATTTTCCAAAAGTATGGATATTAATAAATATTAAAATTTGGTGGGGGGATAATTGCACAGAAAATGTGTAAATTGGGGTAAATTTTTTTTTAGTCGATCACTAAAATTTTATATATGAGTGACACTTGACTCCCCTGAAAGTGACAACTATTACTATTACTGCCACTTGGAATTTTCATTAATATTAACACCACTATAAAGTAATAAAATAAAAAAAATACATCATGAACAGTTATCAGAAATGAAAATAAATAATTTCATAAATATAAGTGTAATCATTCTTCTCTAATAATTTAATTTCCTTCTATACTTATTACTTTGTTAATTCGTAAACCTATGATCTGATTGCAGTTAAAAAACATTCTCTCGTATAAACAATTTTATTTGCAATTTTTCTTTTATCTAATAAGATTTTTCTACTAACCTAATTAGTTTTAACTTCTTTACAAAGTCTTTCTATCAGCTCTTTTATTATCTACGTTTATACTCTGTTGAAATCTCATCTTGATTTAGTATTAGATAAAGTGAAACAAATTAGTGTCAATTTTAAATCACGTGCCTTATAATAAAAAGTATTGTTCAACTTTTTTTTTCTCCATTTTTTGATTATTGTTCATAGCATGGGCATGTCGGTCTCTGCATCTCTGCATCGCAATTTAAAGGAGCACAAGACATATCAGCCAATTTGGTTTTTTGGACCTTTTTTTAAAACCTTATATCTTATTGTGTCTCGACGTTCATATCAGCCGATTTGGTTTTTTGGGTCTTTTTTCAAACCTTATGTCTTATTGTGTCTCGATGTTAAACACGAGTATTTTTAATGTGTAAACCGGTCGGTTGAATCATAATTACCCTAAAAAAATTATTTGCACCGCTAAAAAAACTAATTTACTATCCATCAACCTGTCAAACCAATGGCCCCACCTCAAAACCAATGGGTTTTTGCTAGTATAAAGTATTCATAACGTTATGATCATGCCGTACTGGATTTTGGGGTTCAAACAAAATCAGCACATATGACCAATATTTAAGCTAGCCTTTTCTTTTGACTGTTGTTAAAAGTCCCAGTCTGGCCCTAAAAATTTTATTATGGTTGAAAGTCACTTGTTATATGAAAAACGGAGATTTTTTTTTTGAAGTGGACGATAATAATTTTATTTGTATAATGTTTATATTGAATGACACTTGATCTGCCTGCAACTAATACCAGAAGAATATTAATCCAGTTTACTATAGCATTCACCTTTGATAACCAATTATTTTCAAGGTTGCATTATAAGTATTAACATCAATAACTATAGCCAATAATAGAATAATGATTCCTCCAATGGTTAATGGTAAACCATCTACTTCTCCCAAAGGTAAAATCTTTTGTCCATTCACATTAATGATCATTACAGAAGATTTCTGCAGTATCTTTAATCCTAGTTCATCCAACAAACCTTTATATACCATGCATGCTTCCAGCCACTCCACTGTCAACAATTATTGGAAAGCTTTTTCCATTGATGCTTGCTTTACAATACATGGCAGTTGATCCTATATCAGCATTCAATTATTCTGTTTGTTGTTATGTTCTCTTATTTCTTCTAGTTTGGGGAGTTCATAAATGCTTTTATAATTCCGATTTGTATTTTGGTACTGCTTAGAATAATTGTCCGAATGTGATAACAGCCTTTTGTTTCTTGATATCTGTTACTACTGAGTGTGGTTTGTTGGATCAAATTCGAAATTGGAGGTTAAGTAGCATTTATCTTTTCCCTTGATGGTTTCCTTGCAGCTTTCTTCTTTCCTTCTTTGGATCCTTCACCATTTTGTTTACTAGGCTCTTTCCTTCATCAAGAATCCTCCAAGGGTTCTGATTGAATCTTCATCATCAGGAAAATGGGTACAAATATTATGTGTATATAATACACAATTGCAGGGATTAAGCATATAATATGCATACAAATCACGTATTTTTTTATGTATGCAAATTGTACATATATTATATGCTTAATCCCTGCAATTGCATATTATATATGCATAATATTTGTACCCATTTTCCTGATGATGGCCACCTCAATTCCTTCTTCTGTTGTTCTTTGCTTCTTTGTTTCTACTGGCAACATTAGTTGACTATATTACTTGATACCATATCTGCCAACATTGAATGTGAGATTTGTTGGTTATTATCATTACTCTGTGGACAATTCAATCTTACATGTCCTACTTGACCGCATCCATAACATGTTACCAGTGGATGGCTTTCATTCATTGCACTATTTTGGATTCTTGGTCTTTTGATTATTTCTTTTCGTCATATTAACAGTTGATTAATTGATCCTTGCAATTGTTGGTCTGCTCCTTTATTTAATTGGGTGTGAATTGTTCTGCTGAATAAGCAGACAAGGTTCCTCCTTGAGAATAAGTCATCTCATAAGCCTTGGATCTTTCAATTGCTTCTTGAATGGTGTTAAGTGAGAATGGATTAACAGCCATTGACAATTCAGGTTGTAACCTTTCCATAAACATTCTGGCTTTTATTCTATCTGGATAATTATTTTCATGTTTGATTCTTCTAAATGATTTAATAGATATGTGTACTGTGAAAGCATCTATTATTTCCATCAGGAAAATGGGTACAAATATTATGCGTATATAATATGCAATTGCAGGGATTAAGCATATAATATATCTACAATTTGCATACGTAAAAAAATACACGATTTGTATGCATATTATATGCATCCGGAAAATATAAAAAAATTTTACATGTGTCAATTGTAAGTTTAATAATAAAAAAGTGTAAAACTTACGTCAGCACTGTAAGGTTTACACAATATTACGTTGGCATCATAAGATTTATGCAAGTTTACGCTAAATTAATTTCCTGATGTGTGCATCATCTAATTTTAGCCTCCCAATGGTTTCACACAAGTAATCACTTACCATTATACTTCCACCAAGACCCTTTGGAATTAATGGTTGTTCATGTTCAGGTAGCCACATTTTTTGTTTACCATCATTGGCATAAAAGGTTGACTCATCATGAGTCACAAGAATGTGTAATTTTTGACCATTTCCTAATGTAGGGTTAATTTGTGTAGACAAATCATCACTGAATTCTGGCATCAATGGTTCTAAATCATTCATTTTTTGTAAAAATTCTTTTCTATAATTGACAACATCTTCTCTTTCATGCTCGTCATAATAAATATCTTTTCTATATTTTTTATATACAAATCCCATTTGTATTAACCATCTCCTTGCAGAACTATCACTTATTGATATTTTATTTTCTATGCCAAGATCTGGCAGGATTTCATCTGTTACAAACTGTTGGAACTTTTTTATTGTGACCTCAAACTTATTAACTCTCAAATATTCTGAAATTTTCAACTCCACATCTTCATCATAGATAATTGACTTTACCTTTTGATGTTTACCTTGTTTGGATGCTATCAATTCACCATTTTTTGAATATTGCTTCCCCCATGTTCTTATTAATCTTGCACACCAAGTACCTCTGTTTAAGGATTGTGCAATAATATTGCTGGCATCCATTTTTTTGTAACCTGAATTGACAAGTCTTAAATACTGTGCAGTATACTGCAACCTTGGGTCCAATTCTTTTTCATTTTTTATCTTATGTTCTAATGTTGGTAAAGAATATTCATTATTAATATCATTGGCAGTACTTACCACATCAAAGACAGGCATGATATCAGGTTCATTTAATGAAGAAGAAGGTATATCATTAGTGTTATTTGATGATGATGATGAAATAATCTTGATGCTTGCAATGGAAAAAATTATGTAATTTTTTTAGATCCAGTTGCAGCAAGTTTATTTGCATGCCTTTTATTTCATAAAGTTGATTTAGCATCCCCAGAATAAATTAATGGTCTTTTGTTGGGCAATGAAAATGCACCTGGTTTTATAGAAGCTTCTTTAAGAACCTCAAATGAATTTAGATTTTGTTTAGCAATTGCTTCTTCTGTAATTTCAAATGATTTCACAAGTGGTTTGTCAAATCTATATTGCTCCATTCATCCTCACTACCTGAATTGTCAGTTAAATCATAATCACTTATATAATAATCACTTTCTTCATTGTTTTCATTATTTTCATTTCTCATAATAATATACAATTCATCATCAACATCTACAATAACATCATTGAACAATAATTCATCATCACCTTTCAAAAACAAAAATGATATTAATTTTATTTACAAGATATTTATGTAATTTAATTCTAGAACATACTCTTTTTTTCAATTTGTGTTCTTGGATCCTTTAATTGACTTTTGCATTTGGATGGGTAAGGCATTTTACAGTTTTTAAGTTTGGGAATTAGTTTAATTGGTTTTTTAAAAAAAAAAATTTTTTAACTGATCTTGTGATTTTTACAAAAACCGTGTTTTTAACAAATCTGAAAAAATTGGGAAAACAATTTTTTGAAATTTCAGCGCATGATGCAGCAATTTGATGATTATATGTAACGTGAGCCATATGATATCAATTGAAGATCTACATTGGAACATTCCAATAGCGTTACAATGTTCCAATTGCACAACACTGCCCTAGTGTGTAAATTTCAGCGTGTAACTAATGCAGATTTCTACAAATTTAGAAACTATCTGCAGAAAACTACTAATGTACGATGTTACACCCGCACA